ATTGTTGTCAAACTGCATTTACGTGTTAATTTTATTTACTTCTTTCATTCTTAATTTTGTCTTAATTTTGAAATAATTGCCATCGCAAAAGCTAGATAAATCAGTAAACGAAATCTGACTGCCAAAAATGTTGGATTTATTTATTCATATTGCAAAAGGATCTGAAAGAAATTCAATACATTTTTCAACAATGTATTTCTCTCAAATTTTTATCTCATTCTATACATTGGAGAATCCGTGATGCAGATGTCGCGAATTGTCGCGTATCATTCTGATTCCGGCCGGCGCGCGCTTTTGTCCGCTCGGCTTTATTATTGTCAATATTGACTGTGTTGATTGACCCTCTAGAACGCTCGCCGCGTCAGTCCGCACCTGCCTCTTGCATTCTGAATCGCTTCGCTGCACTCGTGTCACGTACGTGAGAGATGGTCGGGCAATCGCGATTTTCCGTCGGCCGTATAACAAGGAAAAAAACAAGTGACGCCAGATATCGCTCGGTGGTTTCGATTTATAGCGAATTATTCACGCGCTTATTGTCTGTTTCCACGCATGAGCCGCAACAAAAATACGCCGGCAAATTCATTTGCGCATGCATTTTACAATTTCAATGCATGAGAGAAAGTTCATAACTAGTTTTACTGCAATGGAACTACAATTTAATGTTGTATGAAATATTAATTTATATTTAATTTCCGGACTGTGTAACTCCCTTTAAACGAATTTCATTATGACTTGTATTAATTTTGCTTCCGAATTCGTTCAATTTAACAAAATTTCGCGCAACTTTCTTAGATAATCATGAATAATATTTCTCGTGTACGACAATCAAATATAACACACAATTTATTTTTAATCAAGAGAAGTCAAGCGGACTTTGTCACGCAAATGCGCGAAAATCAACGGCATCAAAGCGAACGCAAAAATTGTGTAGTCCCGCGCGCTTAACGTTACTTTCGCTCGGCGCGTTTTAAGATGCGACCCAAGCTTCTAATTTGTTATGCATTCAGATTCACAAAGAGTAACTTTAACATATGGTAATGAAATTCTTCTTTGGCACACAACAACCCGTTTGATGTACAAAGATATTCTGGGTTACTTCTCTAACTCAATTCATCCGCAATATGGCGCATTTTCCGTAAAAGTGAGTTTAACCGGTGCAATCTTGCAACTGTTGTGACCAATTTGCATGGAAACCCGGAAGCAATCACGCCGTCCAAATCGACGACGAAAAAGATTCCACGTTTCGCTCAGTATAACCGGAAACGTGCGATTTTTTTACTTGCAATGTCTCATAGACGTCTTGTTCGTGTCGAGTGATGAAATATGCAGCTGCATTAGACTGCTGTTTCATTGAATCAAGTGGAATATTGCAAATAGGTATCGGACCGTTCTCATCTCGAGGGAGAACAATTGCAGCTTCTTGAAATTAATGCGATCCCGTTGTAGTCTGACAGTCTTGAGCTTTCTGATGAAGTTGGCACGTTTATCTTGAGAGGCGGCGGGTCTATTTGAGTGTCTCTCGTCTCTTAAAAGGACGGCTGAGACGAAATTCTTGAGACGCGGTTACACTTCTTAATTAAGATGTGTCAGAACGATACCAAACTTCGTGTTATCTGGCAAATTATTTCAGCCCCGTCGTTCAGCGGAGCGATATCGCTTAAATAAGGTTCTCATTGCGTGGTGTTAAAGGGACTCGGCAGAAATTTAGATTAATTCGAGGATCTAATGAACAATGCGGGCGTGATAAAAATTTAACGCATATTTTGGGGAGACGGATACGTCCAAAACATAACAAAGCAGACACATTTGTACGAATAAATGTCGCTCTTCATTAATTTGTCATCTGCGTAAAAAAAAAACTCCACAAATCGCATTTAGCACGCTGTAACTTTAAAATTAACGTCGCACGCTTTGAATATAATATTTTAGGAAATATTTACATGAATTTGCGTTTGAAATTAATTTCGCGAATTATCTGGAAATATATGCTGAGTGTAACATGTGTTTTGACGAGAAGACTGCTGTAATACATCATTATTCAGCAACATGTAGAACGCAGTTAATTCACTGACGTATGACCATCGTGCTATGAAATTTATTGTATTGCGCAATTTGAATGAGATTTTATGAATCGCAGCTACTGATAGACGCGTGTATAATGGAATAAAGCTATTTGCGGCTATTAATCGAGCGCCCTTGGCAGCCCTATGTCAATTTCATCACATCCGCTGATTGTATCTGGGTCAAAGACAGATAACAGGAAACCTGCCTGCCTGTATACAGTAGCGTAGTTAATGTAGTTTGGAATAGGTTCAGCCACATCAATGCACGAGTCGCTGTCCGAACTAGCCTAATAAGATAAGAGGCTTTTGTCAGGGATCTGAAGCATTATTATAGACGTTGCGAATATAATTATCGAGGAAGAGATGAAAATTTTTCTTCCCAAATATCTCGATAAGCGCATTATAAAATTATTAATAATAAATCTCTATTGTCTTTTAAAGAAAGAAAAGAAAGAAAATTTCCATCTTTTTTACTATAAATAATATTTAAAATGCAGATAACATTTAATATTGTATTTTCGCTACGCAAATGTCTTTGTTATGCATCACAATGCACATTTTCCGGGAGTTAGCTCCTTGAAAGCGACTGCCGGTGCTTCGGCCACCTACGTGCCGGAATTTTTTTGCGACCACCGCTAATTAGGATTTGCGTCGCGAAAGTTCGAGGCGGTGCTGCGCGCGTCAAAATGCTGTTGACTGAAGAGGAGAGCCATACACGATGCATCTTGACGATGCGGTATTGCACGCGGAGTCGAGAGTCATTCTCTTCCCTTGTCTCTGCTGCTCTCGTTCGCTCTCGCCATCGCGAACACGAATCCCAGATTGTACACAGCGTGCATTGATTGCACGATTCGGATCCACTCTTGCGATCGAAAAGTTGCGTGTGCGAGTTCTTCTCTCGTTAATTAAATATTATTACCTCTCCTGCGTACGCTCGTATACAGAATTGATAATTATCCCGATTAAAAAATGATTCGTTCTTTTTATAACTGTATCGTAAATGTATGTTGCGCAAATTGCGAACGCAATAATCTTTACAAATATGGTCGTTACTGCGTGGTTAACCGTGCATTAATGCGACCTGCTAGAACAAGATGTAGTGCCGTGTAGTAAACCGCCGACCACAAATTTGCACTATGCTAATCTCTGGTAACATCCGCGTATTAGATTGTAATTCGCAGTAATCTTACAGGAATGTAATACTGAGTTAATCGTAGTGGCGTAATTTTCGAGTGTTTCATACGCTCATGCGATCGCCAAGTTGTTGCGAGTCGGTGACCTAAGCGGCACGGAATGGAAATGATCGCAGCCCGGCAAAAATCAATGCCCTTTAAATCCATTGACGCGATAAAGCGTCGCCATCGGGATATATGAGGGAATTTGCAAAGCAAATTTTCCGGATTTCACCGGCGGGATCGCGAATTTTTATCCCGTTGCCCTTAAAGCCCATCCAGGTTTTCGAAGCTGCGCTTTAATCTCGTCGCTGTGATATGAGCTTTCAGTTTACTGACTTTTTGCGCGATCCGCGGATTGCGGACTGGAGAGAATAAAGAGTTTGCTTCGCAAAAAGCTCACGTGCATATTCATCATTAACCCGGGTGTCCGAGACAAATTAGCGTTTTCGACGCTTATCAACGGATATGACTCTTCGGAAAATTCGAACGGGAGGAAATAAAAAGGACTTTATCTGTATGATTTGTCAGCAAAAAATTGTTTTATATCATAAATCGTATTTATGATTAACTGTTTTAATCTTTTATTGCGATTTAATCGAAAAAGAATAAAATGTTAGTATTCGAGACATTGTGGGAAATTAAAAAATTTTGCGAAAGGCGCAAAGTAAAGCTTAATTACAGGTGAAACATTAAGGGCGTGCAATTCGCTTTCCGGGCTGTTTTGCCGCCTCAAGTTCTTGCGTGCAACGAGCACAAAAGCTGCTGTTGAAATTGTAGAAGGAATTTATATAATATATAAGACGCGCCACTTTCTGCTCTTTCATCGCCGCCGTTTTATTACGAGGTGACCTTTTCGCGAGACGGTGAGAAAAATCTCCGGCAACGCGATTTCCTCGGCTGCGGGACGCGGAGTCGGCCTTCCGGGACCGGGAAGCCGATAAGAAAGAATCAGTGGCGATGAATTCTCTGGGATTTCTTTTTTCGTCCGCGACCGTAAGCTTCGTTTCGCCGCAAATCACGCTTACGTGATTTGCCGCGCGACGGCGGCGGCTCGCTGAACGCCAGCGGCAACGAGAGCGCAGAAAGCGGAGAGAAACCGTCGGGACGCAAAACAGTGGCGTATGTCCGTAATTTATTAATGTCCCGGGAGTAATGTCGCTCCTTAGCGCAAATGGCTGCCAAGCGCGAAGAAGAAACGTACAAGCGAGCGGCACTCGTCGCCCGCCAGTCTAAACAGCGGATTAGACGAGAGGACGTTCATTTGTCAAGCTGCTCGCTCAGGTATTTATCCCGGTGCCGTGATTTGCACGTAAGCGTAAACTGAAAAACTGCGGCTTACACACAATGTGCATATTCGCTTCGCGCGAGATATATCGCTGGGGATTATTAAAGAGACGCGTATAATTTATTCAGTTCGCGTGAAGAAAGCGTGAAGCCGGCGCTCCGCACATTTTCTTGATGGTATGCGCATTATGACGTCATGTGTCATCCCGTAGAAAGGAGCCAAGGAGAACTGCATTGCTGCTTGCGGAATAACTGTATTTATTAATCCCCGAAGGCCGCGCGAGTAACGAAGAAAGTATAAAACGCCTGAAAGGAGTCACGAAATTTCTCAATATTCCGTTACGCCGTGCTGTTGCGTCACGGGGATGACCCGCGGTGCTTTTTGCGGAAATAATCGCGAGATAATGATTACGAAAGCGATGCGAAATGTCGAATGACGAAAGTAATTAACCGGAGACCGTTGGAATTTCTGTTACAGAAGGTGGACCCCGAGCTGATATTTACGAAACAGGAACGAATCGGGAAGGGTAGCTTCGGCGAGGTCTTCAAAGGAATCGACAACAGGACTCAGCAGGTCGTCGCCATCAAGATCATCGATCTCGAGGAGGCGGAGGATGAGATCGAGGACATACAGCAGGAGATCATGGTGCTGTCGCAATGCGACAGTCCGTACGTCACCAAGTATTACGGATCTTATCTCAAAGTGAGTAGAAGAGCACTCTTTAATATTTTCTCTCTTCGTACGACAGTTATTTCATTTTAAGCAGTAGTTATCACACGGGCGGGATTGTATTCGCTGCATAATGCAGCGGGCGACACTCCTCTTTTTGTCGCCGTTCTATCTCAGCGAATCGCTGCAGTATAATCGCGCAGGTAGAAAAATAAAAGTTCCGCTATCGAGGGCACTTGGCCGTTACGCCCCATCATTTTTTATGCGGCAAAGAATAGGAAGGGCTTGACGGTCGGTTAACTATCGCTTCCGGCACGGCTGTGTCGCGTCGCTTCCGCTTCCTGCGTACAGTTCAACAGGCACGATTGGGAATACGGCAAATCCCCGCAATTTGTTCGGACTGCGTCGGTCGCAGTAATAAGAGCGATTTTTGTTTCCAGACAATTTATCGTTTCTTTATTTACAAATTTAGTAAAGTAACTTGTTAAACAAGTATTGTTAGACAAATTAATAAAATATTTTTATACAATATTTTTATCCGGAAATATATTTTTCAAAGGTGATTTTCAAACGTAATTTCTCCAGAAGAAATCATCCGTCCGTCTCCAAGCGAATGCGATTTCCGTACTGTACTGTTCGTGCGCATCGGGAAAATTATGTCGATCAACGGGATCGAGATCGAGCGTCTCGCGAAAAGGTCGCGGACGATCGTTTGCATAAGTCTCGCGTTCACCCGACGAACTCGGTGAACCATGAGCGAGGAGATACGTTTTACGTGATCGTCGACACGATTTCTGTGCCGGCCGAGAGGAGACGCGTTTCCTCGCCGTATCGTTTTGTTGCATTACCGGCAAGCCAGAGCTATTTGCGATTCCACGTGGAAAGAGGGGCAGGAGGGGCGAACATTGTCCGCATTCTGAAATAAATACCAGAATTTCAGACGATTTTAGCGCAGTCAAATTTTTTTTCTCACGCAGCTCGCTCGGCTGATGAAATAATTTTGTAATATTTATTTATAATTTTTCTACACAAATTTTGCTAATTTCACGCTTTTTGTTTTGATACTTTTATTACATTAATTTTGATCGATCCTTCTTTTGTAAAGTTAGATTTTATAAAAAAATATTACAAATTGTGTTTGTAATGTTTTCTTTGACTTTTACTTCGATATCTATTCTGGCTATAATATATTTTCGCAATTATCAATTACGTGGTTATTATCCTTGTTAGTTGCGTTTTATTGATGTTCCGTAATGGTGACTGCGCTCCGTGTAATAGCGACGACCAATTACTTGACCTGAGACGTCGCAGCGCCAGCGAATAAATCATAAACTTTGCGAAGGGCGTTGCAGAGGGACAAGTGAATCATCGCGATCGTTATCGAGAATTGTTGAGGGACCGTTAATTGCAGTAAAAGGAGGAGGATTACACTGTTCCCTCGCGTCGATCTCGCGAGGCTGTGCACAAAACGAGGAAACAGATTACACTAACACGCCCCTTCGTTTTCGTAGCCGAGAAGCGCGAACTCTTAATATGATTACTTATGAAATGAAATGGCACCCAATACTGCGCCCGGCTCTGAGAGAAGTTTCCTTAATGATCGCGCGAAACGGTCATTAACGATCGTTAGTCTCTGTCTCTTTCTCTCTCTCTCCCTCTCTCTCTCTCTCTCTCTCTCTCTCGCGAGCGTGAACACTAGAGTTGAAAATACATTCTTACTAATTTGTGCCGCGACGTTCGCGACTTGAAACGAAACGAGGGCGTATATGTTTGTGTGGATAATTATGCGGACGCTAAGTGATCATAATTACGAGCGATTGATATTGCAAAATGAGCGCTGTGAAACATAAACGATACGAATAATTATCGAGATAATGACGCATGTAATTGGCACATTTTACGAAACAGCGTTGTATCGATTAACTCTCGATCGCCCGATCGTACAGTGGATACTGAAGTCTATTTAGATTTATAATAAAATTGTATTTTTACGATTTTAAAGACAGGAGATAATGACGAGCAAGAGGTAGAATTTTGTTTTGTTTCGATTACGATTGTAAGCCGCTGTAAACAACAACTGCGGAGATGAATCCGAAGAGTGGACCGGGTTTCCATTCCACCAAGCGAGAGACAAATATTATATTTTTGCCGGAAAATATTTTATTTTTCATTAAATTTATTTTGTGATTATTTCACAAGATAAATTTACGCAGCAAAATCGCAGAACTGAAAACCGTGGGATACAAAAATATGGCTCTGCCATTCGATATGTCAGTCGAGACGAGAGGTTTCGTGATATTTCCTCATCTTTCGGCATCCGTGTCTCTCTTCCCTTTGCCATCGAAGTTTTTCCGCTTCCCCGCATAATACCCGGGAACAATGCCGCGGTCCCGCAATCTCGCGATGACACATCGACGATTATTGCGAAGAAATATGAAGGAAGGCGCCGCACACAGGTGCCTACGCGCCCGTCTACGCGCCTGATGTCATCGTATAACGGGTGTACCGCCGCCACCATCGCAGCCGTCTCGATTACCGCAGCTTTCCAGCCTTCGGAAACTGTTATTAAGCCGAGGCCAAGTCGGTCAACAACGGTTATCGGACGACGGCGCTCCGCGATCCACGCGTTTGCGCGCGATCGCGTATCTCCGCGCGTATCGCGCGAGATGAAAATTTCCCATCCACTTCTATAATACACAACCGTGAGTTTTCTTTTTCCTGCGTAAAAACACCCCGGCCATTCTCGCGCCGACATTATTGCGCGGTGCGGAATATTTTTATTTCGTATAAAAGAAAAAAAAAGAAAAAAAACGAAAGGAAAACAGCAAATTCGCATTTCGCAGAATATTCAGATTTGATCTCCCGTAAAAACTGCCGCTCCAGCTCGACGATTGCATTCGTTTATGAGGCACATTGCAAAATGTTACAATCTAGATTATTCGTTTATATTGCAGAAACGGTATTTTGTGTATCTCCGGAATCACATGAAAACGCGCGTGGACGTAAGCTGGATAAACTAGGCGGTCGAGATGGCTCTCGCAATACCCGACGGCACACCTTCGATTTCTCAATCCGGATACACCGTCGATTATAAGGGCGTAAAACGTTGTGATTCCCCGGTTGTTTCTTCACACCCGTTCGTTGAAGAGGCGGCTAAAAATATTGCTTCATTATCGATCTTCTAAAAATATTGTTTCACCGCCGAAGCCGCCGGATTAATAAAACGAACGCTTGCACGTGCAGCTCGCAATATGCTTTGTTTATCGCCTATCGCGTACGTACAACTTCTAATATATATTTCAATATCCATTTTTGTTATTAAAAACGATGCGAACTCCAGGAATCCATGAAACTACGTCACGCGATATTATCATATAATTCACTTTAATAACGTCTGGATCTCGGTGGCATATTGCGGATAATTAGCCGGAACTACTTTTGCGGAATGAATTTTATCCGCGGCGTGTAATATCTGAATAGTATATACGAGAGTAAAAATTCGCGGCGTTTCTTCTCTTTTATCCTACCATTATGCTCGGTTCATTGTGCCGCGAACAAAAGACAATGCCTGCAGCGATCGCGCACGTTCCGCTTCCGAAGAGGAGCGGCGCGCAGTCGAGATTTCATGAATGAACGAGTATAATTGGACGGTTATTATGCGGGAGTCGCAAATGTCTCGGCGAATGTCGGGCCTCTTAATGAAATTGCCGTATTTTCGCCACTTTGATTCCCCGTGCGTCTTCCAACTAAAGAATATCGACTATTTGTGTGCTCGAACCCTTCGTCCGCGCATAGAAAGGGTCGACGATCGGCGCGTGTGCGCAATTTCGAGTTGTAATTTACGTCTAATTTGTGATTGTAAGTGCCTTCGAACCCTCGTTCCAGGAATGCCAAGTAGGTCACGTGTGTCAATTTTCCACAGAAACCGCCGTGATTCTACCATTCCCTTTACTTTGCGGCGAGATTTACGGTCAACGGCTATCGACGCTGGAAAACGCGTTCTCCGATAATGGCGGGTCGATGAAGAGGGTGCTTTAACTCTTCGCGACCTTACGTCGCGACGCGCGTGATGCTGCGCCTTATCGCGGCAACTGTCATTGACACCGTAAGAGATGAGATTTCGATTCGGTGTCACGGCGATTAATGCGAAATGCAAAATTCAAAGTTCGAATAAGAGGGAATGAATTGCGCGAAATTGGAATTAGAGTCCGCCCGAAATGAACTGCGCATTTCGCGCGGAAGGTTACAAAATGTAACGCGGCATGCAAACTGGAGACAAGAGCGCTCAGCGCGAATGGGTGATTAATAGGCCGGTCGATCTCTCGTTGCTTTTTTGGGCGCGCGTTATGTCCTTTTGTTCCTCCGTTTCGCGAAATGGCAGGAGTGCCGCTGGCATTGATGGACGACGCGACGGGATTAATCTTCGCTTTACGGTGCCCCCGTACTTCTCTGCATCCGCCAGCCTTCGGCGGTGCACGCTTGCACGACTAAAATGCCGAATTAAACATCGATAAATTGCAATGTGTTTCGCGAGTAAATCGATTTAACTGCATCACGGCCGGTGAATTTTTTTTTCCGTAGACGTATTGAACAGAGCTCCGAATTTTTGTCGGTCGTAATTTAAAAAATGTTATATTTTTATATATTTTTTTTATTATATAATTTTATTGTATCTTTTTAGCTTTTTTAAAACATATTAAGTTACTCAATCTTTAAGCGTGTAATCTCTTAGAAATAATGTTAGAAATTTTGCGTGAAATGAAAATTTTAAACAGCATCAATTAGTTTCATAATTCATGAAAGATTGCAATTCCCTATACGGTAATTATTATATTCGGGCGGACTTTCGCCTTCCAAAGCTCTGAAATTAAGCGCCTCTGTCGTCACTCGTCGAGAGTGAAAGCAACCGATTGCTAGGTTCCGTCAATTAACCATAATTGCCACGTACAGAGGAAGGCGAGGAGGAAGAGGAGCGAAAAATAATTCTCGGCTAGGCGAGAGGGGCGAATCTATTCCCGGGTCGTGTCGAACGAGAGATCCGAACCATTAGGAAATTGGCCGACTAATAATAGCTCTCTTGCAGTGTGCGAGGACTCACGACCTGTTACATAAAACGACTCCTTAAAACTCGTCATCGGTGACGAGAGTCGCAGTCTTACGAAGGGATCGCCTTACGATTAATTAGATGCACTTTTTTCTTCGAGTAAAATTTGGAGTTCAATTAAAGAAAATTCACATAAATTAAAATCTTTTCTCAAAAATAATAATCTAAATAGGTAATAAAGAAAGGAAAGAAAATACATATAAAAATTTGCAGGATTAGCTTTCAATTTTTCTTTCAAATTAGTCATTCGAAGGAGGAAGCAGGGAGTTAAATAGTCGAACGCATTTCCAATCGGTAAAGGAACATTGACTTCGCTTCGCTGCTTGATCGATATCTATTCGTGCCAGCTGCTGCGGCGGAGCTCATTAACCGTCCCTTCGGTTAGAGATTAACCCCGCATTTCGCTTCCTTATCCTCGATCCCTTCGGGCTCAATTCGCAGCTATCTCAGAATCGATATCTCTGATAACGTTGTCGAAGCGTTAATAAATCGTCGCCAACCGCCTGTCATCCTCCTCCTGCCCGTTTGTGGCGAAGACAAAGGATCCATCGAAGGCAGGAATGACGCGGCAATCCCTCCGCGCAGAAATCCGCGGAAGTGGCTGGTCGAAATCGAGTTGAGCGAACCGTCGCTCTTTCTCGACGACGACGGCGGCCACCTACGTCGCGCAAGATCTAGACGGGAAAAAGCGGGGCGCACTCGGGGCAAGGCGCCTGACCGGACGACGGTGATAAATGGTGCCATTTTATGGGCAGCCATACTCGCCACCCTGGCAAATACCCTCGAGTCGACTCGCTTAAACTGCGAAAATTATTCGCCATAAAACGACGGCGCGCGTCAACCGCGCGTCGAACGAAAGTTGAAGCTTGAGACTTATTGAGTCTCTCAGAGACACTTTAGGATATTCCATAAAGGGAGATAAAAAATTCTGACAGTATGTGTGCTTTCGCACGAGCGAGTATCTCTCGTCGTTTGTCTTTCACTTTCATTTTACGGGTAGATAAATTGAATTTTTATTTTGACGCATTTAATACTACGTGCTTTCTTGCTTCGTTACTGAATTAACAATTCAAATGTTACACAACTCGGAATAAATATTACATAAAAATTCAGAGCAAGAAAATATTGCGGAGCGCGAAATTAAAATTCAGCAAAGTATGCGAAGGCTTTCTAGAATAGTGACGCGAGCGACGCGACGCGAAGGGCTGATGACGTTTTATTTTTCATTACGCGTGTACACTTTCACTTCGCGAGCGAGAAAAAGCGTGACGATGAGAGGTGACATATAATACACACAGCGGCGCGTAATTGCAAGGCCGCGACCGGCGGCGCGTCTCTGGGGGTCGTTCGAGAGCGGCCCGGGGAGGGAAAAGAGGAGAGGATCAATTAATTATTTCTTTATAATCGATTGAGCAACAAGCGTAAATCTTGCAGTATCCCCGCGCGGATCGCTAGCTCGGTGCCGCGCTGATTATTAACGCGCGATAACTCATCGGCTTTATCGTCCTTACGCGCTCCACCACCATCACTATTACGCCGACTACCATCACCGTTAAACGCGCGCTGTGTAATTTACCCGATAAGTCGCACAGTGATTGGTCATCGATGTCGGATATAATTACCGCACGACGGAAGAGATCCGGTCAGCGCTGACGCGCGCGTTGCCTTGGAGCAACGAGTGCAACACGCTCTCTCTCTCTTTCTCTCGAGGGGAAATTAATAGGCCGCGCAGGGAACGACGACGCTTTCCTTAACAGTCCCGCATTAGACAATAATTTACGACTGTTCGAAACGGAGGCGATAAATCTTCATTACGAGAACAACCGCGAGATTAATCATATTGCTGTGTATCGTCGAGGAAAGGTCGTCTCACCCTCGTGGCGTGATGCTGCGTGTTCTATATCGCTGATCGCCACTTCACAGTTGATTTCTTTCGCATCGCAGTGCAATTCGGACGACAGTACACAGTCACGCGATGCATTATTTCTCAGATAAAAATATACAACGTTATTAATAAAAATTAATTTTTTTTTTATAAAATCGTAAATTACTGAAATAAATTTTACATTGTTTATATTTTACATCAATTTTTTTAAACGACACTTGTCGACGTCAGATTCACGTCTGCACAGATCACTGAAATTTTAACGACGATCTTCGCGCTCGAAATTTTCTCAGAAAGACGCAACAGAAGCCGAGCGTATCGCAATACTTCCGCCGTATTTTTTTAAATTACGTCTCAAGGTTCAGTTCGATCTGGAATAGCGATCGTTCGGCGAAACTGGCTATTTTCGTTAATTGGCGGCCGCCCGAGATACTCCGATTTTTATCACCGGGATCGCCGCTTCTGTTATATACGTCTTCGCAGCGGTGGTTCTCAATCTAATGCGTTTTGCTCGACAGGGTACGAAGCTATGGATTATCATGGAGTACCTGGGTGGCGGCTCGGCCCTGGACTTGATGAAGGCCGGTAGCTTCGAGGAGATGCACATTGCCGTGATATTACGCGAGGTGCTCAAAGGGCTGGATTATCTGCACAGCGAGCGTAAGCTCCATCGCGATATTAAAGGTACGCTCGCTTCGGTAACGCGCGAAGGGTGCTTATCGGTGTTTATTTTTAACCCTCTTCGTATAGACGTCAAGAAATCTTGTACAAGATGATTCGACGGGACGCCAAATATCACGCTAATTAAATTTTTGTCTAATTATAATTTGCGCCAAATTCGCTGAAATATAATATTCCGTTGAAGAGACATTAACGAATTATTAATAACTTACAAACTTTCTGCATTAGAAAGTAAAATCTGCCTGTCGTGAATGACTCTTAATGTCTGAATTATTTTATGTAAATCAATGCACGGCAAACCGTTGTATCAATTTTACAGCGGCGAATGTTTTGCTGAGCGAAATGGGTGACGTCAAGTTGGCCGATTTTGGCGTAGCCGGCCAGCTGACAAACACCACAAGCAAACGGAACACCTTTGTCGGCACACCGTTCTGGATGGCACCTGAGGTCATCAAACAGTCCGCTTATGATTCCAAGGTAATTGCGTTAATTAAGTTTTTCTACGTACCGTAGCATTTGATATATCACCGAAAATCCAATATAACACTATATATTATTATTCGATTTATCTTTCAATATTTTTATCTATCTTTGAAAAGTTCATGAATATATACATATTAATTATATGCAAAACGTAATAAAATTTCCATTTTTTAAAAATTAATTCAACTAAAATGTCACGTCCATATATTTTGTCCATTTTGCTTCTCGTTTTCTCTCTCATTCGTGTTTCTCGTCGTTCTCGAGAATCGTCTTCAGCGCTGCGCCGTCACGTTTTCATTAGCGTGTCGTTAGCGCTTTGTCTGACAGGCAGTAAGTACAGGAATGCTTACTCTGCAGGCTGACATTTGGTCTCTGGGCATCACAGCGATCGAGCTTGCGAAAGGGGAACCTCCCAACAGCGAACTGCATCCCATGAGAGTCCTCTTCCTAATACCCAAGAACAATCCACCGCAATTGACCGGAAATTACACGAAACAGTTCAAGGAGTTTGTCGAAGCCTGTCTCAACAAGGATCCCGAAAACGTGAGTGTACCGTTATATATGCAGCTCTCCACGAGTTTCGAGTCATTAACCTTGTCTCGTTGGTTCGGAAATATTTCGGACACCGTGGAATTATTCGATATCTCAATCGTGATTGAAGAAATTCTTCGAACAACCAAAAGTAACATAACAAAAATTAGTTTTAAAAGGAACAGAAATTTTGACAAAACATGTTCTATTTTTATTCATCGACCTTTGTATTCTCGTCTCCGTGTAGAGGCCGACGGCGAAAGAGCTGCTGAAGTTCCAGTTTATCAGGAAAGCGAAGAAGAACTCGTACCTAATCGACCTGATCGACAGGTACAAAAAGTGGAAGTCGCAGCGCAGCGAGGAGTCGGAGACCGAGAGTGAGAATTCGGACTCGTAAGTATCTCGATTCACGTTTCTTTTGCGCCTCCTACGAAAGTAAGAGTCGCCTCCGTTTGTTGCGTACGCTTCAGCAATTTTTTTTTCGCTGTTAATTCCGCGATAAATTCACGTCCTGAAAGTGTGAGAGGAAAAGAAGCCAGTTTAAAGTCATTTATCACCCGCGATATAATAGGCCACGTCCGAGCGCGGCAGTAAATTGTAACACACTGCATTACACGGTGTTCAGGGAGGAATCCAAGCAAGACAGCGACATGGACGAGCCGTGGATAATGACGGTGAAAGGCCCGCACGGGGTCAAAGGATCCGTGGTGCCTATGTTGCCACTGGATGAGCAACCAGCATCCCTGACCATAACACATACGAACCACAGGTCCTCCAATCACAGTCAACCGAGCAAGCCGCATGCGAACGGCGCTCCGCGATCGCCCCCGAAGGACTCTACGCTTAATCATTACAGAAGCGAGTCCAGGGACTCGTTGCGCGATGGTCAACCGAAACACACACCGGTACATGTTTATTCTAATAATTGATTATTATTGCGTGAACATTTTGGATTTCATGTTAATTCGCTTCTTTTCTTTCGCCAGTCTCGGCCGCATGAAGCCGCGCCACCACCGCCAGTAGACACGAGAGAGAAGCGAGAAGAGCGAGATTATCGCGACTCCAGTCGAGATTCCACGCTTAGAGAGTCGAAGGAGATGCGCGACAGTCGCGAGAGAGACAGGGACGGTGTCAGAGAGCGAGAGCGGGACAGAGAGATCAGAGATCGGGATAGAACCAGCAGAGACTTTAATTCGCGAGAGAAGAGGATAAGAAATAGTAAGCCGGATGTTCCCGTTGTTCCGATGGCCGATCACAGACCTGGCGAGGAAAAGCAGAGGCCCAGGAGCTCGCAGGAGCTCAAGCATCCCCGAAGCGTCGCTTTGTCCGGCGTTGTTATGCCTCTTCTTTCCGAGGTATTATTAATTAAACTTGTAAAGTTTGATAATGTGATACGGAAAAAAAATGAAAAAGAAAGCTTGAGAATACAAAAAAATTAAAATCTTAGAATGATTCTTGCAGCACTCGACTCGTGTTTTCGACTCATGTTTCGATAATGTTGCAGCTTCAACGAAAGCATCAATATTCCGCAAGAGACAATAATGGCGAAGGCGGTAGCGGTGGCAAGAATGGCGGTGCTATAGAAGAATTGCGAAGCGCCTTCGAATCAGCGGAACGCACGTCGCCGGGCATGACGGAGTCCCTTATCCGCGAACTGATTAAATCTTTACTTCCGCCGAATCATTCGGAAGGGCGCCTATCTATGCTAATGGAAAAGGTTATTTTAAGGTAATACTCTTACCGCAGCGTACGTTTCTGCAGCGACGGCGGAGAAGATTTGCGCAGGAAGATGAAAGGTGTCCTTCTCTTTCAGGGATACGTAGGGACGCGAGAGAGCGAGGGTCCGCAAAAGATTGTGGTCACAGAACATCCTGACATTGTAAAAGCATTCGTTATTTCTTCTCGAATATCAACTCGCTAATCAGCACAAGCCGAGTTCGATGAATGACGATTCCGAACGTGAACGTGCGAGGAGAATATCGCTTGTTATTTCTCCCATCTCCTCCCCGCTCTTCCTCCCCACGCTGATTTACAAAGACCGTATTACAACGAAGTCTATCGAGTTTTGCGAAGTTTTATGAAGTAGTCTACTGAATCGCCCTCATTTCCATCTACCTACCTCGCCGTAGGATAAAAACACATAGACGCGCGAAGCGTTGTGCCAGTATTCTTGCAGTTCCTACTCGTCTAATTGTCATCGATCCTTCCACGTGAGTTTTTTCGATTGAACAGTTCTACATTCGCATACTTCTCTCCGTGTCAATTCATCGGCCGACAGTTTGTTTGAATCGTAAATCAATTTATTATTACGTTTTTTTCCAATTGTAACTTTGTAGATTTTTAATTTTAAATACTTATACATTTTTAACTAAGAATCATATACCTTGTATTACGGTAAATGTAAAATTTAGTTTTAAGATTAAAAATATATTATTTTTAAAATTTGCTAGTAAGATCGAACTGTCGGCCGATTTAAAAATCTTAGATAGCGAGACACATTCTTCATTGCTAGTAGATTAATTGCAGAGAAAACATAGAAGACGTGTTGGATTTAATAGCACCAAAAAATGTAACGCTCTAGCAATTTAATGGCGATGAATTACGAGTAGAGAAAGGCGGAAGATAGACGGTAGCGTATTTGCAAGAAGGCTGAAACCTCCATTATGTGATAGCCTAATATCTTTGGAACCTTCTTCATGTTCGGCGTGTACATCGATCTGACGATACGACAACAAACTGAAACTGTACAGACTCGGCTAAGCGGATAGATGAAAAGTACTCGATGACTTGGTCTTGCCTCAAGTAGTAGATACGTCCGCAGCATGCACTAACGAGATATATACCGAGCATACAGACGTGATCTACGTAAAAAGACAGACTTTTGAGGCTTCTGTGCAGCTTTAAAAGCAGCGCTTTTACTAATGTGTTTACAGGCAGAATATTTATTTAATAGTGTGTTTTGATGAGAGAAGATTCTGTAGCAGTCGAGCAAAAGATAAAAAAATGTGTTCTCTGAGTAGACTTCTTCCCGTTGCTTCCTACGCTAGTGCACGTTTCGGACGCGAAAGGAACAGGTTCACGAAGAGAGCTCTAGCGCGCAGTGCTAGAGAAATTGTAAATATGTATGTAGCGCGATAAGATAGTCTTATTGTTCTGATCGACGTCTTTGCCAACCGGTCGCACAGCTCCGTTAAACGATCTTGTTACCCTCGAAGAGAAAACATTCCTTTCCCTTACCACAGTCATTGTTCATCATTGAAAGAAATGATAGACGTAGGCTATAGGCGATATTGCCGTTACAAATTTATCGAGAAAGCTTTTATCGTTTTCGTTGGTGTAGTTACCGCTTGTTGCGTAAAAATTGCAGGTGTAAGCCGTTACAGTGTTTCAGCAGCCGTACGCGACGTATAGTAGCGTTTAAATATATAATAATTAATTTCTAGTTGTAAATCTCACTTGGAAATCGTCGAGAAACAGTGCTACTATAGAACTCTATCGTCTCTCCAGTATATGTACGTCCGCGAAAGACACTTCGATCTTTCCATCGCGCCTTAAAATATCGCATACGCGTCATTAACTTAGAGTAATAAAACGGAGCCGTTCCACGTTAACGTGTTATTAAAACCGTTCGTGTATTTTTGCCGGATTGTAGAGCGTAGCGATTTCGCCATTTCATAGTTCGGGAGAAAGATGCTAGCGTAAAAGCGCCTTTTATAAAAGTTTCGATTCCTCGATTGTACAAAGGTTGACGTGGAACGACTTGACAATCCAGATCCAGATGGAATTTAGTACACGAGGAGGTACGAGGAGAGTTTTTCGAACTTTAAACGTGCAGCGCGTTCGAACAGTAAAGACCGGATATATAACGCGGAATTTGAGTACTGCCGTTCTTCCAAACCTGACGCATTACACACACACACACACACGCGCGCGCGCGCGCGCGCGCGTTTCCCGAACTCCCTCCTTTATTTCCACGATCGAGTCTGAGCTGCGATGACTCCCGCGCAGGGCGTCGACACTTAATCCACGTTGTTTGTAAACTAATGTATTTTATAAAGTATATTATATAGAGAGAAGAAAATTCCACACACGCGTAAAAGATAGAGTTATAGGGAGTGTCATCAGCGGGGTGGTCGGAGAAGAAAAATCTTACGATGCGAAGTGCATTTCGACGGAATTCAAAGACCATCCTGCATACGGTGATTTAAAGGGAGATACAAGAGGGTGATAGAGCAAGAGTGAGAAAGAAGAGGGACAAAATAATCCATCGCGAGTTTGTGAAGGGGATACGTCAATTAACGGCAAAAATCGAAAAGCAAAAATGGCAAAGAGACTTAATTATCGCTATCGAAAATTATTGCGCCGTACAGTTTTATTTATTTCTCCTTTTTTTTTTTTAATTGAGTTTGCTTTTTATTCGGATAATTTGATAAGAAACAAAAAAAATCAATGAAGTATTAAAAAAAATCTCTGCTCTACCACGCCTTTTCTTTTCCTCCGTTTTGTTGACCTGCCGCCCGCCTAGATGAGGAATAAGTCAGAATATACGATAATGTATTCAATTTTACTTTTAGTTGAGTTAATTATTCATTTACGCTGTATTGTTAATGCGGTCATCTTGTGTCAATTGATCAAACGATTTTTTCAGTTTCTCGTCTTGAATCATGAAAAAAGAAAGTCTTTTACGGCGATCGAAAAAACCGCTTGACAAGACGACATGGTTTGACTCTCAAGAGATAGTGTCTTATTGTTATTACATCGTTTTTTTTTCTTTTTTTTTTTGGGTTAAGTTTTTTTTTATCTTTATGGCGATCGCTACCCTAAGTAGGCCTCATAAACGCTGCCATAAATGCTTACCGGTTACACCTACGCGCTAGCATCGCTACGAAGGCGTCGCTGCGTGCCGATTTCGAGGACGGGAACTTATGGCTGTGTAAGCAGTATGTTTGTTAGAAAGAATTATCGAGTCACACATGAGGAGTAGCGATCGATTTTTTATAATAAAACGTAATGATCATTCGTCTGATTGAAAACACTTTTATTGGTCGTCGAGATGGCCAGAATTGTATATGCAGTATGTACGAAATTATCGTCTAAGAGTATTAAACCGTCAGCGATAGGGTTGGACGAGATTCATGTATCTGTAACGTGTTGCAATTTTAAATAGAGAATTATTATTTACACAATTTTTTTTTTATATTCAAATAAATCTGTTAACTCTCGTATTTACGCAGCAAGATCAAAATATATCGTTTATACGATTTCTTTTTAGTTCTGGCGGGTCCAACGTTGCCACTGGCGGGATATTTTTCACATTATTACTCCCGGATTAAGCGTGTCGGCGACGCAATTGGATTTTGTTGTTTATTTTACGGGGATAAAAATGAAGGTAATACGTTTATTCTTTTGTTCTCCAATCGGCCGAAGAAGTTCCGAACGCGCTTTAGCCGGGCGGACTTTTGCTCGGAGTGCGATAAGATACGGCGAACTGACGTGATTAGATGATCGTTCGGCGAACTGTTTGCGGAAGAGCTTTCCCGAGAATTCGGATCTTTTTATGCCATACTTAACCGGCTAGGAAATTTCTGCGCTTTCGTTGAGTATGTTTCGCGGCAAAACGTGCGAGGATATCGGTCGCTAAATTGTTCTCCTATTTCTCTGTGTACGTAGATTACGAGCGAGTTTAACGGCGTCGAACTGTGATTTTCGATTTTCAGGAAGCTCGTTTGCTTTCTTTTAGTTTGTACGTTTATACGGTTGACCGAGTGAGAGTTTTTATCAATCGAGATGGGTAAGAGACGAGATGATCGGCAAGCGCGCGAGGATCCGCACGCGATCCGCGCGAACCGCACCACATTCAATCCGAATTACGTGTCCTACCGTATCCACAGCACTCTTCTTTGTATTATACTCTTAGCTACTATCCATCTAATATATTCAACGTTATAACACATCGTGGTAACAATAATATCTCTCGGCGTAGAGTATATACATATATAAATATATATATAAATATATATATTTTTTGTATTTTACTTCTCTACCTTGGCTGCGTTGGACTGTATTATATTGATTGTATGTGGCATGCTGAGGGCGTGTACAAATACGAAATAAAGATTAAATAAACCACGAAGTGGTGAGTATATTTTAATGCATCTATCGCGACGACGGAAAATCTTTGTTCTTTTTTCTTTTTGCACGTCACGCATGATTTCCATCTCTTGTAATTCTAGTATAATATTCTACTTTTAGGATAATAGTCAAATTACAAAAGTGCAGTTTAATTTCCTTTAAATAGGGATTATACGAGACGAGGAGAAATTTGAGCGGAACGCGCTAAATCGTTCGAAGTGCACCGGCGCTTTCCCAGCGAGCTTTCGACGTCGAAGAGCGCAGGTCTGTGCACCGAGATAGCTTCGTGAGGTCGAGAGAGAAAGAGAGAGAGAGAGAGGGGGAGAGAGAGAGAGGCACGGAGGGAGGACGGAGGGCGTAGGGATTTTCTAGACGCATCTCACCGTGCAGTAGTCGCCAGCATCCCGCGGGTGGTCGCGATCGAAGTACCAGAGGCGGGAGGGCCGACGAGCGAAGGGGGCGAGGAAATTGCCTCGTACTTTTTTTTTTCCTTTCTCTCTGTTTTTCTCTCACTCTCTTTCTCTGTACGTTCTTTCACTTTAGCACGCCGTTGGCTCTGCCCCTCCCGCCAAAAAGACGAGGCGTATGTAAAAACACGCCCGGCCCGCGAGAGATGACTATCCGCGGCTCTCCCGAGAGGACAAATCGGAACGGGACGGAGATAGAGAGAGAAAGAGGATTCGCGGCGCCTTTTGTACATGTATAAATAGAGCGACGCACACCTAGACGAGGAAAGAGGACGCCGGCGTCCCCGGAAACGCGCGCGATATCCGGAGGTCGATTCGCGGGAGTGTTTACGGTATCTCGCGGAGTGAGCGTCGAGACGAGGGTGCTTCCGTCGAAGGAATCCCGAGAGAAATAACGGCCTCACCGCTGGCGGGCCGAGCAGCGTCTAGTTGTCGATCTGCCGATAAGAGCCGTGCCAGCGCACAGCATCCCTCGATGTCGTCTTGTCAGGATACCGCGAAGTGCGTCGTCGCGATACTGATGTACGTATTTCAAGGCGGAACGCGCGTCGAGGCGTCGCGATGCAACGGCGATGCCCAGGTACGACGAGACCAGGAGACGCGTCTGCATCGCGTATATCGCGGCGAAACATCGTCAACTGTTTTTCCTTTAATTTCCGGATTCGATCTGGATATCGTTCACGATGTAATTTCCTGTCCGTATAATATTTACTGTATTACGTCGCGTCGCATTGCGCGTTGTATTGTGACGCCGCTCGACGTGCAATATCGGTTTTAGAGGCAGTTAGAGAGCTCTTCGGAGCCGTAGAGAGATCCCCGCGATCGCTTCGCGCGCGTTTACGGCCTGGCAAACATCATCGGTTTGCGTTGCTGACGACAGTGACGGCTGCTTCCATCGCTGCCGCGGCTTCCAGCATGCGCGACGCTCAACAACGCCGCACGAATAACGTAGGGTGTGATCTGCCTGCGAAAAATCGAACATCAGCCCCTGTGTAATGCGAATGTCATCGCGCGTGTGAGTGTTTTCGATCGGAATTATAGTTATTTATCAGTTATTTATCTCTCATTTATGTCAAACATTCTACAGTCTGCTTTATTATCGCGAATGGCTCTTTAATCATTTTATTAATACGCCTGTTATTGCTTCTAGAATTTTAATTACTCATTGCCCAGCCATTCATCATATTCCTACTGCGTAACGGGAGATCCTTATTGCTCCGGACGATTGTGAGAGAATTGAAAACATTCGCTGCCGATAGACTCACTGAAAGTATCAGGAGGATTTACTAAGTAAAAAGTCAAAAAGTAAAGGTAATTCAACCAAACTCTCTTTAAAAAAAACTCCTTTACTTTTTGACCTTTCCCTCATATTATTGCGCACACATTGATTTAGTGAACAAAGTAAAGCACGCTGCTAATCTAATTATTTAAATTTAGGTGCTAAATTTACGATGTTAGAAGAACACAAGTTTGAAAAGATGACGCGATAAATTTTTCGAGGATGTATAAGGATTGCACATAATCAGATACTTTCCTCCGACGAGACGACGTAAATCCGGCGCAAGCGAAAGCTTGGCATTTGCATAAGCAGGATAACGGGATCATGTAAGGTGGGCGTGCTGCATAATATACAATGTAGATTTATATGATCGACGAAGAACGTAGGTTGCAGGAAGATCACGGTGCGTGCGTATTTTACGTAGGAATACAAAGAGCTTGTTGTAGCACACGCTCGACGGACGAGGCGAAATAACGCATCAAAGTGGCGTGTAGGAAAGCGCGCGTCGACGAACGTCATAGCGATTTAAAAGCTTATCACTCCTACCGAGTGCGCCGCGGTAATTCAATATTACCCGCCCATATCGCCATCGCGACATTATCGTTGCATTTTCCATCCAGAAGGACCGATCCATCGTCGACCTAAAGATGATAGATGAGAGCGAGGAGAACTTTTTCTCTCTCTTTCTCTCTCTCTCTCTCTCTCTCTCTCTCTCTCTCT